TTTTTTTTCTGATGATTTCTTTCGACGTTATTATCATATTGGAAAAATAAAAACAAGGAGTCACCGGACTTGTTTTCATGCAATAGCTTTCGTGAGTTTAGCAATTTCCACGCGCGTTCTCGCGCATTCAAAAATCTGGATTTTATAAGACCGACATTTGCTCATGATCTGTTATAGCTACCGCTGATAATTGCGTGTGCTCGCGCGCGCGTCTACGATCTGATGTTTACAGACGTTTAGTGCTAAGAAAATCATTAAACAGCTGTCAAAGACAGCCTCCCGGGCTCATCTTAAGATCCTACACACGACTTCTGGCCACATCATTATTTTCCTTGAAGTTTCAAAGTCTTCTTTCACTTAAGGTAGATTGTCCTTCACTTGAGTTGTTCTTTTTTCGCCTTCGCAAGATTTCAAATCGGTTGAATATTTCTTTTAGATATGAAGTGAGGCAACTTTTACTTCTCCGCAAATCGTCTTCTTTATCTTAGTTTCTTTCTCCTGCATTCACAGTGGCCACTCAACACATCAAATACACGCTCTTAGGTAAACTTCTCACAAAAGTAGAAACATTTCCATGCACCGCTATCTTTGTTTTGAATTTTCATCTTTTAATCTCGCGCTTCTTTCGCACGTTCCTCTCGCGCGCGTCACGCAAGAGTGACCTGTTCCCCGCGCGAGGAAACTGGTACGAGCCACCTTGAGGGTAGTGGTCCAAAATTTCGAGCTCATTTAATTGTGTGCAATATTTTGTGAAGAATTTTTAAAATTCGTAAAACTAAATCCAAGTGTTTAATTAATCTAGTTACAAGATAATGCAAGACTGCTGGCGAGAAAATCCTCATGATCGCCCAGTGTTTGAGAGTCTTAGGGATGATTTGAAGGAAATGGAAAATCAACATCAGGTGAAATATTTTGAAATAAAATTATGCAAGGCTTGGTCATCCGTTGATATAGAAGTCATTTAATTTATATTCATCGATTTCCTCTTTCTCTTTTTCCTCGCAGAGGCTCATCAACATGCAACTTTACGACAACATCCTTTACGCAAATGTGGAGTGAATTCTTGTTAAGAATTATGGAAACAATTCCTATCATCATAATCGGCAACAGTTTCTCCAACACAGTATTTGGGAATCTATGTATTAAAAGTAGATGTTTTTTAAAGATAAATCAAGCCATTTTAATATGCACGGCTAAAAATTAGGACAAGTACACTGCCCATCAAGCGAGGTAGAAGTCGAAATGAAGTAAGAAAGCGGTTGATTCTAACTTGTAGTTATATTGGTATTTGGTATGGAAGTCAAAGCGAACAATAACTTACGATATTGACAAATAGTCAATGGTTGTTATAACATTTAACAAGGATGTCAGTGTATTTTAAGCGGCACTCATCCTACTTTGTAGAATACTCAAAATTTACTTGCTACTGTAGCCAAGTGTTGAATATTGATTACGCATAAACTTTAGAAACTTTACCTGAGGAAGGTCAGGAAGTGCTGGACGAATTATTTTATTGTTGCATTTAACGTGAGCCTAGGGTAGATTAAGCATGCATGCTATATGACCTTAATAGTTAAAACACGTCATCGAATAAAAACTGGAACCACAAGCGAGCGGTGTGCATTTTTATGTAGAATGTATTTTTGTATGATTTTTTCTGTAGCTTGTCGAGAGCTTCGTTAAGTCGATGCCGAGTTCAGCATGAATTTCCACTTTCTCCTCCCAAAAAAGGTGGCAGGATAAATGTCGTTTTATATCGTTGCTATGGAAGTCGCTGAATTTTGGGAGATCCTCGAACTCCTTCACTTGCGTCTTGTTTGTGTGTTGAGAAAACTTTGTTCTTATTCTTTGTGGAGAAATCCCAGACTTTGTATCTGCAAATTATTCAGCATCCCTTCTTGACAGCAATTACCAATTCGGGAGTACACCACCTGCCGGTGATTAGCCTTTATTTGTCGCAATGGCTACAAACCCAGGACTAAACCGCTGTTTGGTTTGACAGCATGCAAGCACCATATATATGAAAAATTAACTTGTTTTTCAAACGAACCCGAGGTAAAATGATAAAAGAAGATCTCTATGTATAGGTTGGTGTACAGTTGGATTATGCACTTTAATATGCTTGACCTCTTATGGTTATGTGAAAAATTGAGGCCGCAGAACTCCAAATTGTGAAGGAGTTTAGAGAGCATAAGTCATGCGAAACCTTTATGTTTACTTATATTTTACCTCTGTCATTTAACTTATTTTCATTACTTAGAATTTTTTGGTTTTTCAGGGTTACTTGCAAATCCAAATTGCAACACGAGCATTTGAAACTTAAAATGAAATGAATAATAATGAACCAAGTTTAGCAAAGTTAAAAATGTTTATAACGGTCAGAAGAAAAATCAACAAGCGGGAGATTTTGGAGAGGTTAAGCATGACGTTTACATCAAACGGCTGGTCGACGTTTGTCGTTTGCCGTTTTCAGTTCTTGGGCTTAAGCTTCGCGTACACCCGGAAAAAACTGGAAACTAGTAAACAAGCCTGAATTGCAACACCAGGAAACATGGCGGCCAAACGGCGAGTGTTTCACGATAATCGTAAAAAAGACATAAATTTTCCCACCTTGGGTTTTTTTTTTTTCGTCCTTGATGGAAACCTATAATTGATAATTTAGCTTTATATTTTATTCATAGACGAGTTACACAAGAACTTTTGGAAATAATGCTTGCTGAAGACAACAGCAGAGGTGAAGAGTCGGAAAGCGGCAGCGACAGTTCAGACGATGATGATCTGGAGTTGCTACTGCTTCAAATGTTTTCACCCTAAGAGAACTCGGTCCCCACGTTAACTACCAAGACATAAGCGAAGATGATTTTCAGAGTTTGTTCAAGTGAAATTTGTCGTAATTAATTAATTCTCGTATACCTTACCTTTCGAGTATTCAAATCGCCCGCCATTTTAAATTTCACCCGCGCACGTCAACAGTGAGTGAACGCCTTCGTGTTTAAGCTTCATCTCACGCGATCTCGTGATACAGACGTCTGGACGAAACTTTCGAAACGATTGAATCAACTGAGGCCGAAAAAAGCCAGTTCACTACAAAGCAAACCCAACCACGGCCAATTTAAACTAAACCAGCTCGTGGCATAACATTAAAAAGCCAAGTCACATCAAAACGAATCACCACGGAAAATGTAAACTAAACCAACTCACGTACGAAAAAGCCAATTTGCATCAAACAGAAATAAATTGAATCAGCTCACTGTAATGTCACGTGATAGTTGTTGACCAACGGGATGCCAGATGGGACATGTGCTCAGGTACATGTCAGGCTGTACTCTGAACTGACAGGGATTAAAAGTATCGTTTATAATAAAACCCGTTTGTTGCGGTATAAAGCCAAAACGTTACATGGCGTCAGGAAGCGGTTGGAACTCTCGCGTTCGTTTGGTTAACAACGTCATTTAAACGTCAACCCTGGCCAACAACGAGTCTAGCAAGCGATTGAAACATGCCCGCCAATCCACCGGATGAGGGAGGACATCCCGTATAAGCTATTCAAGCACCGATATTTACCAGTAACCTCCCGGTCCCGCCAAACATTGAATTATCTGGAAACCTTGCTAATAATTGGAAGCAGAGGAAGCAGGTTTGGAGTGCTTACGAATTGGTCACGCGTCTCAATGAGCAGACCGACGAGTATCGAGTTGCTGCATTTATCACATACATTGGTTCAAAAGCGCTCGCTATTCACAATGGCCTTCCGTTACAGAGTGAAGACGAGATGAAGAATTTGGCGAAAATCCTAGAATTATGGGAATCCTATTGCCTCGGAAAAACGAACATTTTATATGAAAGATATCGTTTCAACAATCGTAATCAAGACGTCAGTGAATTGATCGACACATACGCATCAAATTTGAGATCTCTCTACGACACGTGCAACTTTGGAGCGCTTAGTGAGGAAATGATAAGAGACAGGATCGTCTGCGGAGTTCGTGACAGCAGTTTAAGAAAGAAACTACTACAAGTACCTGAACTTACACTGGACAAGTGTATAGACATGTGCCGCAGCGCCGAAGCCACGTCAACTCAAATGGAAGCCATGTCAGCGCGAAATTCACACGTACCACCATCCCCTGAGGTGAACTTTATCAAAAAGCCGTCGAAGAGCGCGGATAAATCACCCTTTGCAAAAGATTGCCGATTTTGGGGTCAAACACATGAGATGGAGAGATCAAAGTGTCCAGCTTTTGGGAAAGTTTGCTTTATTTCTCAAAGAGGGAATTATTTTGCCTTGAAATGTTCTCACAAAAAAAAAAACCACATAAGCCAAAGAAACCTCCGCAAAGGTATTCGATGAGTCAGTTTGACTTCGAGGAAAGTGAAGAGGAAATTCTCTCCTTATCCTGCTCCGCAGAACAAATCAACGTCGTGGATAACCACTCAACATCCTGGCCACTATGAGGGTTAGTGGGAAGGACGTGAGCACGTTAATTGACTCAGGTGCATCCTGCAATGTTCTCCCCATCAAATATGTCCCCAAAGGAAATGTGGTTGAGAAATCGAGTCACACCATTAAGATGTTCTCAAAGTCAACCATGTCAGCCGTCGGTACAGCAAAAATCTCCCTAGTTAATCCTAAGAACATGGAAAGCTATCTGATCGACTTCACCATTGTTGATGGCAATTTTGCACCATTACTTGGTCTGGAAACTGCTCAGCAGATGAAGCTACTGGTCGTGCTAACGCAGAACATTCTGTCGATTAGAGAGGAAACATCGTTCTTTCATGCTGAAAAGCTTAAGTTCACAAGAGATACCGTGCTGAGTGAATATCCAGACGTCTTTGGAGAAGAGTTGGGCTGCATGGAAGGTAAAGTACACCTTGAAACAGACCCAAATGTCGCTCCCACAGTTATGCCGCCACGTCGTGTACCTGTTGCGCTTGAAAAATGAACTTGACCAGTTAACTCAGAGGAAAGTGATCAGCCCTATTGAAGAACCTACAGATTGGGTTTCAAGCATGATTGCAGCCAAGAAGCCAGACGGGAACATTCGTTTGTGCATTGATCCCCATCACCTAAACCTAGCCATAAAACGAAGCCATTATTCTCTCCCAATCATTGAAGAAAGGCTGATATAGTGCCTTGTCGGCACTAATCACTTTAAGTCTTTCTTTTTTGATCCCGTCGTTCCATCCGAGGTGGACTTGGAAATCTTGGCTATACCCAGTAATAAAGTATATGGCCTATATTCTTGCCCGGTTCATCTTCTAAAATCTGGGCGCCATATCCTTTCTTCACTCTTAGCTGCCATGATGAATAAGTCTATCTCAACGGGTATTTATCCCCATCTTTTGAAGCATGCCAAAGTAATTCCTATCTACAAATCGGGAGACGAAACTGATCCATGTAATTACCGCCCAATTTCCCTCCTTTCTGTCTTCAATCGATTATTTGAGAAATTGATGGCTAAACGTCTTAAATCACATTGCGAAAAAAATGGTATCTTTTTTACTTCTCAATATGGATTTAGAGACAAGTGTTCAACCCAACATGCAATTTTAGATATCTTAAGCAAAATTCAAACTAATATTGATGCAAAGTTATTCTCTTGTGGTATTTTTATTGACCTAAAAAAGGCATTTGATACGGTGGATCACTCAATCTTACTGCACAAATTATATCATTATGGAGTCAGAGGAATAATTAATAACTGGTTCTCTTCGTACTTGTTGAACAGGAACCAGTCGACTCAAATTGGTTCAACCGTATCGAATATAGAAGAGATAGTTTGTGGTGTCCCTCAAGGGTCTGTACTTGGCCCCCTTCTCTTTTTGATTTATGTTAACGACATTTACCGTTGCTCCCAGATTTTTGAGTTTTACCTATTTGCTGACGATACTAACTTGCTTTATTCAAACAAAGATCTTAAGGATCTTGAAAAAGTTGTTAATGATGAACTCGCAAAAGTGGGTGACTGGTTGGACGCAAACAAACTTTCTCTTAACACTAGTAAATCTAACTTTGTTATTTTCCATCCTTACCAACGCAAATTGGACTACATAGTTCACTTGAAAATTTATAATAACGATCTTAAAAAAAGTGTATCTCTAGAACAAAAAACTTTTGTGAAATATCTAGGAATTCTGATAGATAATAACCTCTCTTGGAAGTATCATATTGATTATATCTCATCTAAAGTTAGTAAAGGAATTGGTATAATTGCCAGGTTAAGACATCTTGTCCCATTTGCCACACTTCTTAACATCTACCGCTCCTTAATTGAACCCTATATCTCTTATGGTCTTATTGCCTGGGGACAAGCTGCTAACACTCATTTAAATAAGGTTCTCATTTTACAAAAACGTGCTCTACGACTAATGTATTTTGCGGATAGCAAAACTCATAGTGCCCCGCTATTTGTTAACTCCAGAATCTTACCAATAACTATGCTCTATTCTCATTTGGTTTCCTCTTTGATGCATGACATTGATAATCACCGTGCCCCGTCTAATATTTCTATGCTCTTTCTCCACTCCGAGCAGGTTCATCACCATTTCACAAGATTCTCAGCAACGGCTAATCTATACGTTAAAGCGTCTAGAACTAACCAACTT